AGGTAAATATTTCTGAATTAAATATTTGTTTATTTGGGCCAAAGTAGCAGGTGACCATGGCTCAATAGATTGAATATTAATTGCAATAATTTAACTTCTGTTATTTTGAGGCAGCTTTTTCTTTTCTTTTTTTCCCCCTTACATGGTTTGATAGTATTTTGGTAAAATAAAATTATAAAATTGGGTTTTCCTTTACTACCCTAGAGCACTGTTCATCTGTATTACTATATTCACTGGTACACTCTCTAGTGGTTTAACATTGATCCTATAGTCAGAGGGTCTGTCATTAATACATAGAAGATTTTATATTATTAAAATGTAGGACCTTTGGGTTTCCAATTTTATGTTAACTGTAGTTATATCATTTTAGTAATTTGTAAGGCAGACTAGATTTTGTCTTTGTTTTGCCTCATGTGTAACTTAAGTTGGTCCTCTGCACACACATTCCCAGCCACCAGTTGACACTGAACAGTGCTGGTTTGAACTGTGTTACAAACCGCATATAAGTGGACAGTAAATATTTGTGGAAATGAATATAGGTATACACCACTTTGCACAAGTTCTCGTTATGCAACTTCACTTTTATGAAAGACCTACCCTTTTTAGCAAACTGAAAGAAATCTGAAGAGGAATTTTGTTTTTATGAAAAAAGCCATTACCATGCTTATGTAGGTCTTTTGCTTTTTGTAAAAGTAAAGTGGAATAATGTGAACTTTCTGAAAGCAGGGGATACTCTTCGCTTTATATATGCCAGTTTGGCTTTTGAAAGATTTCATAGGCACGCTACTTTCAGATACTGGGGAAACGTACTCTCATTGAGAATGCAAATTTTATTTTTGATATCATGGTCTAAAATTAAACATTTTTTTCCCTTCAGAGTGACAAAAAGAGTAGTCCCCAGAAAGACGTTAAGTATGAACCCTTTTCTTTTGCTGATGGTAAGTGAATCTTTATTTCAATTGTGGTGTGTGTGTGTGTGTGTGTGTGTGTGTGTGTTTTAAGGTAAGATGACTGTCTAGTCACATAACTTTTTTTTTTAGTTATCATGCTTTAACAAAAGTCAGGGTTCTTGAAATCTAATTTATCTCAATATGACATACAGTAAAAATCACTCTTTTTAGCATAAACTACTATGAATGATACTTCTTAAAACATCTTTCATGAAGCCTTAATTTTGGATAGTAGTATCTTACTGGATTCTAATAGTAGAATAGTGCTTCTCTAGGCTAAACTTCAAAACATAGTTCTTGCTTGTTATTTGGTTTTAGAAAGAACATGTCTGTTTATTTGTCTAATATTATTGAATTTACATCTTCCTTTAGACATTGGCTCCAATAATTGTGGATACTATGATTTACAAGCAGTGTTAACACATCAGGGAAGGTCTAGCTCTTCAGGTCATTATGTATCATGGGTGAAAAGAAAAGAAGGTAAAGATTCTATTTTTTTTTTCAGTTGTTACATACTATTTTAATAGTTTGCTTAATACAAATTTTATAACAGTGGTTCTCAAACTTTTCGGTTTCAGAATCCTTTTACACTCTTATATTGAGAACCTTCCCATTTTGTTTATGAGGATTATGTTTCTTTACTATAATAGAAATTAAAACTGAGAAGTAAATTTATTCATTCAAAACTGACAGTAATAAACCAATTACATAAATAATATTTAAAAAATGAAAATCATAATTTTTTCCCAAACAAAAAAAAGTGGCAAGAAATGGTATTGATTTACATTTTTATAAGTCTTTAATAGGAGACAGCTAGATTCTCCTAATTATTTCTGCATTGTCTTTTGCTTTATCATACGTTGTGTAGCCTCAGGAAAATTCCAAAGTACACTTGAGAGAATGAGGGGGGAAAGGTACTTAATGCTTTAGTAGTGTTATGAGAATAGTTGTAACCTTCATGGAACTCCTGAAATGGTTTTGAACCTGAGTAGTCCCTGGATCATGCTTTGAGAACTGTTGCTATGGTAGATGGAATACTGCTGTGCGTAAAGTACCTTTTTTGAAATGGAACTCTGAAAAAATTGTGAATGATTTTAATTTCATTTTCCTCTCGTTCTTTAGATGAATGGATTAAGTTTGATGATGATAAGGTCAGCATTGTGACACCAGAAGATATCTTGCGGCTTTCTGGTGGTGGAGACTGGCATATAGCTTATGTTTTACTCTATGGGCCTCGCAGAGTTGAAATAATGGAAGAGGAAAGTGAACAGTAATCTTCATTTTAGCTATTTATGCTTAGGTGTGAAATAAATGTTATTTGTTGATCATTTCTATAATCCAGAGCTTTAGAGGAAGATATATAAGTGGTTTTGTTTTCCCTCATATGGAACAAAGGGCAGAAGCAGACCACTCTGTGTGTCAACGTAAAATACTGCAGAAAAGAGAAGCCTTTGGACTGTGCTGCTCTGTATAAAGGTGACAGGAAGAAATTTTTTAAAAGCTTATTTCTTGCATTAATTTTTTAAAATTCTGAGTTGAAATGCCTTTCAACCATTATCTTCTGTGATAATTTTCCCTGCCTTTTTCAGCTCAATATTCAGCAATGAAATGTTTATTGCACACCTATTACTGTTTTGTTGTTCTTGCATGGTTCAAACCACAGGTAATTTCCTTTGCCTTATCTAACAAATTCTGCCAGGAAGATGGAAAGGAAGTGTTGCTCTCATTGTGCTCTCAGTGCTGCTGTCCACATAGCCCATGGAAACATGGATACAATCAAGTATTTGTCCAGCCTGATTGTTGCTGGCTTTTCATGACTTTAAAATAAATTGTGATCAATAGTACATTTGATTATACATTTATTACTGTCTCTCTGATGTACTATGGTTTGTACATTTAACTCTGCAATGGCTTTGTAGTAATCAACCTTTAAAGGATGTTGACAGGCTCTGGTTGCTTATTTTTAGAAAATAGGGATATTTAATAAAAAAAGAAAAAGAGGGATTAACAGTTTTTGACCTCAAGTCTTGTCTGTTGAGTTGGCTGAAGTTCCAATATGTTAACCCTGATGGTTAGTTTTACTCTGCTGTTAAGCATCCATTTAAAAACGTTATCTTTGCCTGTTAGTATTATATTGTTTAAAAAGAAATACAAAGTTGTAAGAGCAATGGAGTTTTTTGGATGCTGAATGCAGCATTTATCAGTCAGATCTGTCCTTTGGCTCAGTTATTTTTATACTTCTGTCAGTTCCCAAAAATCTTAATGTCTATTTCACAGCTTAATATCAGTGATTTTTCTAGTGGTGGTTGGAATATCAAGAGTATGAGGTATTTCAATATAGTAGGTTTAATATATTCTAATTAGTCAGTTCCTTATCTTTGTCTTAGGAGCCTTGATTGTTAGAGAAAGGATAGATTATTACCAAATTTGTCTCTGATTTTGAGTTGGGTATTTATAATTAAGTTTTGGGGATTATCATGAAATCTCATCTTTGCTTACTCTCGTTTTAATGCTCTGCAGAGCACAGACAGCACTGATAACCAGTAGATTCCTTAAGAATAGTGGCTATTTTTGAGTTTGTGAGAACTCTAGGGGACATAAAATAAGTATTTCAGGGAAACTTTATTTGTATATAGCTTCTTCAGCTAATCTCTAATTACTTGAATTATTGGCAATCAGTACTTCCTTTGCTTTGAGGGAGGGTGCAGAACAGGATGGGGAAAATGAGACCATAAGAATTGTGATGTTTTTTATATATTGGTATGCTGCTTGTAATTCTGCAGTGTTTTTATTCACTGTTATATTTGACCTGAACAATTTTGAGGACATAATTTAGCAATTAAAATTTAGATTTTTTCTGATTTGCAGGATGCTGTAGCTACTAGAGATCAGGTGAGGTAGATTTAGAACAAAGTATATAAACCTTCTATAGAATTAGAATTTTTAAATTGTAATTCCTTGTCATTATAAAAAAAACTTTATTTCATTTTATTTGATCCAAAAAGCATTATTCCAAAGATAGTTTAAGTATAAGAAATTAGACTTATACCAGTGTTGTTTTAAACTAATAAGGCTGTTTTAGAGTTCAGCCTTGCATGTAGGGTCTTTGAGAGTAAGCAAGAAAAGGTCTTGACTCCTGAGTGTGCCTTATATGCGGTGCCACTAGCACGACGCCCTTTTGATACTAGAGCTGTGCTGTATACTGTTGGACTAGCTAGTGAAGTTAAGCCCAAGCAAGAACATTTATTGTATAATGTGCATTTAGTAGTTGTTGTTCTGGATTCAAAACAATGATAACAATCTTAGACCCCTAAAGGATAATGCTTATGTGGGGACAGGAAAAAGAGATAGTTCTGTCTCCAACCATTACTAACTACCTAGTGCTTTGCTGTTTACAGGGTGCTTTCACAGACATCTCATTTGAACTTCACAACAATCCCTGAGCAATGCATCCCTATTTTAATGACTTGAGAGGTTAATTTTTATAAGGCTAAAAGAACTAGGTTTTAGACTTCACCCCATTTCTTTTAAAGTTGGGGGTCAGCAAACATTTCCTGTAGTGAGCCAGATAGTAAATATTTTAAGCTTTGCAGACTATAACTTTTTTGTTGCAACTACTTAATTTGCCGTTGTAGCAGGAAAGAAGCCATAGACAAAACCTAAAAAATCAGTATGGATGTGTGATTAAATTTTACTTATAAAACCAAGTGGTAAACGGACCATTGTTTGCTGATCCTCTGTTTTAAAGCATGAAACTAGAGCAGCCATATGGATTCAGAAAGTCTTATTTTGGGATTTTCAGAATAGCAAGTTAAATTTCATAACTGCTAACGGCATGCAGAAACTAATTTGGCATAGTGTATTTTAAGAAACACCATGCCTCTAAATATCACTTATTGACTTAATAACACATTTAACAAAAATATATTGTGGTCATGTCACTTTGGCCATTTTTCCAACCTCCTACTCCCTCCTCCCAAGACCTGACTGAGGTCAGTTATCAAGAGCCAATATGTGTTTTGTTCTTGGAATACCAGCCAACTGTACAACTGTTATAAAAATGTTTATTGTTTACCAAAACCAGTGGACCTCTTAACAAATGCTGCTTGGTAACAAAATCTTATCACAGTTTTAATAAAAAAAAAAAAAAGCTAACTATTTGTCTCATTGTCATTAGTTAGACTTTCTGCAAGGTCACTTAATCCAGACTTATTCAGTGCATTAATCAGATTCTCAGGCGTTGCATGGACTCCCTCTTGATCTTGCCAGGCAACTAGTAACTGCCTAGCTCTCATCTTCATGTCTTCACTATCACACTCAATCTGTCTAATTTCCGAGTCTTTCATTTCCAAGTAGGGAGCCAGAATCTTCCATTGTTCACCCAATTTGTTGGCAAATATCTCTATTTGTTCCCCTGTTACAGGTTTGTCTCGGCGAGCATCAGGGCCTAGAAAACACAAGAAATGTAAATTATGTACCAAGTATGAGGACGTCTACAACTCAAAGTATACAACAGAAATGGGAAGATATGGGGCCACCGAAATATTAATCCCCTTTAATAACCTTTATTTTAAAAGTAAAACAGTTCCTTTTTATATTTTTCCATGGATTGAATACTGTTCTTATGACCATTAGGAAATCAATTTTAAGTTATTGTCAAGCAGTGCTTTAAATTCCTTACTATAAGAAGCAGCTGAGATACATGGTAGAAGTTGAGAAGTAGATCAAATTAAATAACGTACCTCTCAACAAAGAACCACAATCTGTAAAATAGCCAAGAAAATTCAATTCTTACTTTCATTTTCCTTCAGTAAAGCATCATTATCTTCCTCATCTTCATCCTCACCTGTTTTTATTTCTTCAGAAGGAGGCTAAAATGAGTAAGGAGAATGTTTAAAAGAATGCCAACTTCTAAAGTAACTTGGGATTCATTTGTTTAGATAAGCTGATTGTGACATTCCAAGTATAGGACCCAGAACTTTACCCCTGAGGGTGTTAAATGTGAATGTTAAATATGACAAGTAGAACAGTTAACCTGGAGAAGGAGTGGATGGGGAAGATCTGAAAGTTGGAAAGACTCCCCTTACTCCCCCAACCTGGGAAGAAGGGAGTCAGTAAAAGATGTTAAAATGATTTTCACATACCTAGCATATAGTAACAATAGTCTAAGGAAGACCAGGGTTGAGCACCTATGTCCTTAACATTTTTTGAGTGATTTTATTAGCTTTTATCCACACACAGTTATTAGTATCATATTGTAGTAATACAATGAGAAAATTGTATTGAAAAGGAAAGCCAGAGTAGTAAGGCCAAGTTGCCTACTACTACCCTGTCTTTGAATATAATGCACCAACAAACAGGAAAAACGATAACAGTTTCTCCAGAAGTATTACAGACTTAGATTAAGTTATACACGTGCTATAAAAATTATTAAAAGTTTATCAGTTTATGTACTTCCTATGAAATGTATCCTCAAATGCATTTCTCTTCATTCTAAAACATGGAAGTTGGTGGATTTTTCCCCACAACTCTAAATTCAGTTCTGTTCAAACGATAGCAGTTTTAAAGAAAATAACATCAACTAAAGGAAATGAAAAAAATAGATTTATAATACTTACTGGTAATTCCTTTGCTAGCTTTATTACCATGTTTTCAAGATATTCTGGCAAACTTTTGAACTGCTGGTTGGTTGGCTGGAAGAAGTGAGGGCTTCTCCGTGCTAACAGTCTCAGGGCTCTCCAACCATAATTTGAATTGTTCACAGCCCTATAAAAAGATGTTGGTCGTATAACTTTATAGTCATTTATTTCTATATTCCCTTCTAGTTAATGTAACTCACCAGGTGAAACTCTGTAACTCTAAGATAAGTAGCTGAAGGCACCATTCTTTTCACTCTGATCGTATTCCCAAAGAACCTCAGTGTGCAGGTCACTTATATTAGAAACCAACAGAGTCTGAAGAGGGAGGTCATGCCAGCAAGCACATTTAAAAAGTTTGTATGCATTTTACTTAATTTAAAAAAGCCAATATGTGCAGTACTGGCTAGATGTTGTATATGCAGGACAGAAATAATTAGTTATTTAGGGGGGAAAATGAATTCATAATAGGTTCAACATGTTTTAGTGAGTTGATATCCGCCAGCATAATGCCACCTATAGGTGTGAGTTCCAGAACATAAGTTCAACACTAAGTTCCAATCATTAATTTAATCAATGCTTGGTTTCCTATTTATACAATGCCTAAACTTTAATTTGCTCAGAACCAACCTGATGGGATAAAAATGGCTCCAAAATGAAAAGGGAAATATCCAATAGTCAAGAGAATAAGCAATGATGCCAAGAGTAGAACCAACCCATGAACTGTTCCGTAAGGAAGCAAAGTGGTAATAGGTGGTATCCAGTAAGGTGAGAAATGGAAACCTCAGGGAAATTCTAAAGACAGTGTTCCTGAAACAGGCAAGCTGCAGAAGAATCCAGAGCACAATTTTTTCCCCCCCTTTTATGAGTTTTTTGCAAGTCAGTTGGAAATACCCTCCCTCCCCAAGTTGTTGAGTAGCAACCTCGTTTACTTGGAGCCTCATTACCTTTGAGGCATGCTGGCACCTGCAAAACTACTCCTAAACAGTGGGGACCCTTACCAAGTTAACATCATGCTATGAGGCTTTGCCAAAATAGTTAACCTTTTCTCTGACACATTTCTGTTTAGATAATTTGAATCTTTTAAGCATTCTGTCAATTATACATACAAAATTATTCTCCAGAGATCCATATCATCCAGATTCTTAATCTTAGAGGGCTATCACCCTACCTAGTCTTACCTAACAATAATAAATCAATATTCATTCAACAAATACTTGTTGAGCTGGGCACTCAGGAGTCATGGAGATCAGGGCCCCTGAGGTCACAGTGATTTTCCTGGCTTTGCCATTTACTAGCTGAAACAATTTCTACCTAAAGAGTTATATAAGGTAAGTGCTTAGGAAGTAACTGACATAGTAAATGAATCTGTTGCGAAGCATCATTATTGGTAAATACAAGGGTTAAGACAATTTCAGGTAGTGGTAAGGATGAGAAAAAAATGACAAATTCAGATGGTGATATGTACTATGAAATAAATGTTAACAGGGCTGCATTAAGAGGGAAAGGAGAAGACTTGGTCAGGGAAAACTGCTCAGTATTTAAGATGAGAGTTTAAGTGAGAGAGCAAGCCATGGGATTGCCATGAGGGAAGTTTCAAGCAAATGAACATCAAGTACAAAGGTCCTGAGGTGGAAGTATCTTTTGAGTTGAATGGAAACAGGGCTGGTATGGTTTGAGCAGAGAGAAAATAAAGAAGATGTGACCGGAGAGGTAGAAAGGTGCAAATCAGATAAAGGAGGCTTGTTAGTAAGACTTCATCTTAATATTATTTATTTATTTTTAAATATATCTATATTGATTTCAGAGAGGAAGGGAGAGGGAAAGAGAGAGAGAGAAACATCAATGAGAGAGAATCATTGATTGGCTGCCTCCTGCACGTCCCCTACTGGGGATCAAGCCCGAAACCTAGGCATGTGCCTTGACCAGAATTGAACCTGGGACCCTTCAGTCCGCAGGCTGACGCTCTATCCACTGAGCCAAACCAGCTAGGGCTTCATCTTAATTTTAATAGGTAGCAACAGATTTGACTTGTGAATTTAAAGATCACTGGCTAATGCATGGAAAATTGTCCAGAATTGGTCATAGCATTCTTTTTGCAGTGCTAACTACGTCATGCACGGTTCAAAGTAAATCATCTTAATCCTCAGAATAACCCTGTGAAATGGGTACTATTCCTATTAATAGACAAGGAAACAAACAGAAGGGTTTAATTAGTCCTCGTAGCCTAGCAAGTTAAGTGGTAGAGTCCCAGGATTGGAACCTAAGCAGTCTGACAAGAGGGCTCTAGCCCTTAAGTCAGTGCAATAAGGCCTATTCAAAATCATGGAGCTGTGGATTTAGTTGAAGAACCTGAGACTGAGTCCTGAAGCTACTCCAACATTTTAAGTTAGGCAGAGGACTGGGGAGCCAGCAATGGAGACTGAAAAGCAATTAGACAAAAGGATAACAGTGGGAGCTATAGTTAGATGGCTGTTGAGAGAAGAAAATGTTATCTAACAAGACAAATCAACTAGGGAATTCTGCTGAGGGGTTAAAAAAAAGAAAAAAAAGTGACCTTGATAAGAGCTATATGACAGCCAGAAACAGCCCGCCAGGAATGGGCTGAGGACAATGGGAGGTGGGGAAATGAAGGCAGCAATTATCAAGAATTGTTGGGAGATAGAAGCATACCTCTCACCTTGCAGATACTGTGGGTTTGGTTCCAGACCACTGCAATAGTGAGTACTGCAATAAAGCGAGTTGTAATTTTTTTTGCTCGTAAAGGATTTTGCCTTCAATTTGTAAAAAACCCGACATTTGTGAAGTGTAATAAAGTGAAGTGCCATAAAATGAGGTATGCCTGACTGATTTGAAGGGAAACAGGGAAAATAGGTGATATTTGGAGAGAGATGTAGGTTCAAGAGGGATTTTTCTGATTTTTTTTGAAATAATCTTGATGTTAAGTTAATGGGAATGGTCATTGAAATCAGATGTGTCATAATGTGAACTTGGTACATAAACTCACCTAAGAGGAAAAGTACCACTCTATCAACTGTCTCCCTTATTAGCATTCTAGTATACATAAAATTCCTAAGGAAAAGAATTGGAGAAAATTAGCTCATGAGAAACATTACTTACTTATATTCATTTTCAACCATGCTTTCCGGGTCTGCCTGTTCAATGGCTTCTTCAAAGAATTCCTCCAAAGTTGGCATATATTCTCTGAATGTTAAAAAATAACTAGTGAGGATTCTAATGTTATTCACACTTGACTTACAGTTAGATTACTTAGGAAATCAAAATTTTAAGGAGATAAATGACTCAAAACAAGTTAAACTTCTCGGGACAAAAAAGAGGGCAGTGTGGCCTTTACCCACCATGTACTATGTAGTGAAACACTGTATTACGAAATGTGACACACACTGTATCATACAATGTACGCTGATGTTACTAGTCACAGAGGGCAGCCAGGGGTTTACTAGCATTTGAATTTCTCCAGCAAGCAGGAAATTTTCACATTATGTCCACACATGGATGTTTTCCCTTTAAACCAGAATTAAACCGAAAATAACCAGACATACTAAGATTTCAAGAACTTTGAGCTTTTTAGATTGCTGCCATGGTAACATGGCTTTTTAAAAAAATTTTTTTATTGATTTCAGAGAGGGAGAGGGAGACAGAAACATCAATGATGAAAGAGAATCATTGATCGGCTGCCTCCTGCATGCCCCCTACTGGGGATTGAGCCCACAACCCGGGCATGTGCCCTTGACCCGAATTGAGCCCCTGACCCTTCAGTCCGCAGGCCGACGCTCTTATCTACTGAGCCAAACCAGCTAGGGCACATGGCTGGTTTTTAACTGCATCTTCTTGAATTTGTCTTCAGAAATAAAAACTTGAGACAGAGTCAAATAAGATCTAAGGATCTGATCAGAAGACATCTTTTTACTAAAATGAGAAAAATGAGCTCTCTGAAGAAAAACCAAGCATAAAATCTAATGACTTACTGGAATGTAACATGCCCTGTAACTGGTGAACATTAAAGGCCTATAAGATTGCTTGTGAGTTTACCATCCCTCTTCTACACATCACACTAGATAAAGCAGGGTTCACACTAAAATTCCAACCAGAACATCATTCATCAATGTTTGAAACCATTTGCTAGTTTTGTAATGAACACTGCAGGTTTTTGCCTTATCTGCTTTAAGACTTTCAAATGCTACAAATACAGTTGAGAGTGCCCATGCACCCCTCCTCCATCTCATCTTCTCCCCACAGAGGTAGCCATTCTTTAGAATTTGGTGTTTATCATTCATGTGCTTCTTTTTTTAAAAAGAAAAAAATTAAGTATACGTTGTTTTGAATCTTTTCAAATTTTCAATTAATGGAATTCAGCTTGTACCTGCCTACAAACCTGATTTATATTTTATTTGCTTGAATTTTCTATATTTACTTTTTCCTCAACTTGTTTCTTTTACATACTTAGCAAGCATGCTTTACTTGAAGTCTAGTTATTATCTCTATCTTCACCTGTAACATTCATTCTGATCACTCCTTATATTAAGGTCACTTTTCATCAAGTATGTTAGTTCCACCTTTTTAAAATACCCCCAATTAGTAATATTACTGCTTTATACAATGAATCTGATGAGACTTAATCATATTTACTAATGTCTTTGCATAGCAATCCTTGCAACTTCACATTGTTTTGGGGTTCAACTTCTTTCTGACAGGTTTTTAAAGACTGCTGATGACAGATTCTCAGTTTTAATCTGAAAGTAACTTTCTCTCTTGACTAACCGACCCACTGTTTAACTTATTATACAGAATTAAGAGTCCATGCTTTCAACACCTTGAAGTTATTCCACTGTCTGTGGTTCCTTTTGGTCTTGAAGTCTGCCATCAGCCTGATTTTTTGCTCCTTTGAAGGCGGTCTGGTTTTTCTCTCTGGTGACTTTATTACAATGTGTAGAGATAAGGATTTATTCTGTTTATCCCACTTAAATCTGTACCACATGAACCTGAGAATTTATGCTAATTCTTGGTCCTGAAACAAAAATTCCGTCATTATGTCCTTGATTACTGCTTCTTTCCCATTCTCTTATTATTTCCTCCTTCTATTAGAAGTCTGTTGGACCTTCTCATTCTGTGGTTCTTGACTTTTTCATATTTTCTAATTCTTGATCCCTCTGTACTGCTTTCTGGGTGATTTTTTAAATCATTAATTCTATTTCACCTGTGTCAAGCCTGCTATTTTTACCTGCCTATTTTGTAATTTCAATGACTAGATCATGTCATGTTTCTTTTATATCTTTAATTATCTTAAATATACTTATTGTAAGCCTTAATCTGATGTTTAATTTCTGTGGCTTGTTTTGTCTGCTGACTCTTACTCATGGTGAATGGTCTTCTTGAATGTTTTGTTAAGTCTGGATGGTGAAATTCAGATTTTTATCTGCAGGATCCTTGGCTTAGGTTGAAGATGTGACCTCCAGAAAGCCCAGGGTTCCTTTACACTGCTTGCAGGATGTATTTACACGTAAGAGCGCATGGCACAGACTTGTTATAATTTCTCAGGAATACTTTTTCCTTTTTGCCTACAGCCTAGATCAGGGGTGGGCAAACTTTCTGACTCGAGGGCCACAATGGGTTCTTAAACTGGACCGGAGGGCCCGAACAAAAGCATGAATGGAGTGTTCACAGCCTAGATCGTAATGGACAAGCTTTCTTGTTTCCTAAACCAGTGGGCAAGTCTCCCCATCTCCCACTCTCCCCTTCTTTTACAGAAAATGTAGTGTGTCAAGGGGCTCAGCTCTATTCAGGGGAACTCAGTTACAAATTCATGCAGGCCCAAGGCCTTACCTTCTGTCCTTTTGTGGCTGTTAAAACCCAGTTCCCTGGTTCCCAAAAGTGGGAATCATCTGTACTGCCCCTTAGCTAGAAGCAACTACACAATTAGGTCATACCTTGGTTTGTAGTTCCTTCTATTTTTGCGAATTCTTATTTTCTTGTGATTTCTAAAATTATTGTGCCAAAGTCAACCCCAATTTTTTGAACTCTCCTGATAGCTGACAAAAGGCCATTCTACTCAACATTTGAGAAAAGCAATATTTGATGTGAAACATTTGAAACTTGCCTTGTGTCTGATTTACAAGCTTCCATATTATCAGGGCAGAGATTCCAAAGCCTTGTTAACTCCTCACTGAAAAACAGACACATAAACAAATACATTTTTAATGGACACCATCCTGATATGTCTAAAGTTATAAAAATACTTAAAGTTAAGTAGTGGAGTTTTAATTATCTTCACTAATTTTTGGTATTTAGCAGATTTTCTATATGAGCATATATTGAATGACAATACTTTTTTTCTAAAAATACTCAAGCACAATATAAAGCAATCTGCAGTTAACTAGAAGGTAATGGAAAGGACTGTGGTATTTTGCAACAACTAGAAATGAGCTGGATCGATGCAACTGTATTGTCTGTGATGTGGTAAAAATGTCATAGCCTACAGCCTTGGATTTTTGAAGCAGGAGACATAATGGAAGTACTAGTATGTGTACTTGCATGAACCACATAATGGGCCTATAGATTGATAGGGGGTATTTTGCTTTAGTCATCTATGTATATACCAAACACTTAAAAAACTAGACAAACACAAAAACTGGAGAGTTCTTATAGTAACATCTTCAAAATAAAAAAATAACTAGTAACATTCCACATATGAAGACAGGATAACCTACTTTCCCATCAGAATCTTTTTGTTGGGCCCTTTCCCCAGGAAGTCCTCTGGTGCTGTTCTCTTTCGTACTGCTCTGGTTGGCTTAGTATCTGATGTTCTGTGGTGAACAAAACATACTGGAATTACAAATGGACAACAGAAATGGAAGTGTTTAATGTAAAAGAAAACACTGTTTTCTTAAAAAGATGAAAGCTTCATATTATTCTGGAACACCCATCAGATAAAAGACAAAAATGCCACACCATGGTACAAATAATAAGTGGGTATACAAATTTTTTTCGATAATTAATAATACATCAATTTGTTCTGGAAGCTTAATTACAAGAAATTTGAGATGAAAATTTCACATAAAATAAATTGGAGTGGTTATATTATTATTGAGCTCAACTTATTTTTTTTAAACCCTCATCCAAGTATGTTTTTTTCCATTGGTTTTAGAGAAAGTGGAAGGGAGGGAGAGAGAGAGAAACATGGATGTGAGGGAGTAAACCCTCATCCAAGTATATTTTTTTCCATTGATTTTTAGAGAAAGTGAAAGGGAGGGAGAGAGAGAGAAACATGGATGTGAGGGAGACACACATTGATTGGTTTCTTCCCAGATGCTCCCCAACTGGGGCCAGCTATCAAACCTGCAACCCAGGTACGTGCCCTTGGCCAGGAATCAAACCTGTGATCCCTTGGTCTATGGGCCAACGGTCTACCACTGAGTCATATTGGCCTGGGCTTAACTTACATTTTTATATGAAATACATACACACATATCTCTACATAATAGAATCACATCAAATTATATTTTAACATTTCTCATATTGCTTCAGTATATATTTACCTTTCTTTCACAAAACTTGGGCAGCCTTCATTTTTCCATGAGTTCCAGTTTTCTTCAGTGTTTAATATATGCTGAGAAAAACAAGTTACATTTGCATAATGGGAGCTTCTAAAATTCTATTTGGTGCTAAGAAAACTAAATATAAAACACATACCTCTACCATCTTTGAAAATCTTTCTCCATCGGGTGGGTTTTCAGATAGCAGCTGTGATTAGAAAGAATATACTAAGCTTTCAACAACTTTCTGCATCATAGGAGTGGTTTGTAGGCAGAGAACCAGGAAGTGTTTGTGGTCTTGTACCTGAGCTTAACTTTATCCTTATTTTCCTATTTGGGGCTGAAACAAAGAAAATTCTAAATTTCCATTTTGTTCAATCATGGGTTTGTTGCGTGTTGAACTTACTTGATAAACTGATTTTGTAGTATCTTCAATCCAGAGTGACTGCTCATCAGTTAAAACATAGTTTGAACTATGGAGCAAAGCAATAAAAGCATGCTTGAGTTAACAGATTCAATGTACATTCAATTTTAAGGTTTATATTCTTTTTAAAAAAACACAAGACATGTAACAGAAAAACCATAATATAAAAAGTGTCAAAAATTACCAAGACAAGAACAATCACAAATGAGATAATTATATGAGAAACTTCTTGCACTTCATCCTCAAGATGGTTAGAATTGAAGACATGAAAGTATAGAGGAGACTAAAACATTCAATTAATTTGATTAAATATAAACAGAGCAGTGAATGTTTCCTAAAATAGTAAGTTTAATGTGGGGTTTAAGGTTAATATCTGAGAGATATTAACCTATTCTTCTACATCAGGGGTGGGGAGCGTCTGGCCTTCGGGCCGTGTAAGGCCCACAAAATCATTTGGTATGGCGCTGCCAAGGCATTAGGGTAAGTTAATTACATGTTTGACCAAATATAGCAGCTAATTTTTAAGTTGATAATTTTGTATGGCCTGCGAATGATGTTATAAATATCCAAATTGGCCCTTGGCAGAAAAAGGTTCCCCATTTGTGCTCTAAATGATGCACATTCAGATAGAGCATGCTGCATTCTTTTAAAATGCATTCCAAATATAGTGAATAAAAACCCCAAGCCCTAAAGAAGGCAGAAAGCAGACCCAAATTATTAATAGTTGGCATTAGTTCAGCTCTATGTATTAGTTGCTTTATGGCCAATCGATAAATATTAATAGACTACCATGTGCCGAGATCTGAGCACTTCACATGCATTACTCATTTAATTCTCTGAATGAGAAGGTGTGCATGTTAAACAGACTTTATCGGTTCAATGATTTGCCCAAGGCCATACAGCTTGAATTCAAATCTAGGTCAGGCTTCAAAAAGCCCTCGATCTTTCTCTATGCTATACCAAATCTCCACAACAAACAGAAGGATAAGAAAGAACATTTCTGAGTGCTTGATATGTGTTATCTTAAAATTCCAAGTCAGAAAGAGCTGAACTGCCGCTAGTGAGTAATGAAAGTGGGATCTGAAACCAGCAGGCAGAAAAGCCATGTCTTTACACAACTACCCTGGTAATATAATACTTCTTTGCAAGTATTTACACCTTTTCTCTAAAACAAATATCCTAACATCTAGTCTAAATAAAAGCTCAATTATCTAATGTTGCTGCAAAAGAAATGTTTTAGGGATGTGACTGTTATACATAAAATGAGCCCAATACATAAGAAAAATACATCAAGTCCTTCTCTTTGTGGTTTATAAACTACTATCCATTTATTAATTTATACTTACCTTTTGAATTTCACCTGTCCCTTGAGATATTGGAATAAAATGAGATACTGCAGTAGGATGTGTCGGCGAAAGTTACTGTCACTCAGTTGTAAATCCATCAACTACTCGAAAAACAAGCATATACACAAAACACATTAAATTAAAATTTTGCCTAAAGGTACAGGTTATGTTGTTACAGAAATGAAAGATTTCAATTCAAAAAACATTTGCTGAAGGCATTACCGCACACGAGGCATTACTGCAAAAGCCCCAGGACAGAGTGGCAAAAGCTTCATTTAGATTTCTATCAATTTATGTCATGACATATTTGTGTCGGTGGATAGCACTGTTATATTTATGGTCCTGAAGTCAGAATAAAGGCAGAAATATAAAAAAGCAAAAGGCTGCCTCTTTCCCACATATAAAGATATAGTGGTGAAAGAGCCCTGCTGGAGTGGCTCAGCTGGTTGAGAGTCCTTGCATCAAAAGGTTGCTGGTCTGATTCCCAGTCAGGGCACATGCATTTATTATAAAATAAGTCTACAAAACAGACTTAATGCAGAACAACCTCTTTCATCATAGAAGCCAAATTAGTCTTACTTGTACAAGGAAGAAATAGGATTCTAAAACTAACATTTGTCAGCTTTAACCAAAAGCAAGAAACATTTCTATTGAACTTAAAAAGTATATCAATTAAATAGAAAAAAAATATTTTTATTATGCTTAGTGAGAGTTATACCTTTTCACTTGTTAAAAATTTTGCAAAATATACATGTTCTCCTCCTGTTTTTAATTCTTCCATCTTTTTTCTTGAGGCCTGAGTATCATCTAATTTATAACTCTTGAAAACAGCCAGAACTTCTTCTGAGTACTGCAAAGTAAAAATATCAATTAGTTAAACTTGCCATTGTTGCCCAATAATTTGTTTAGTGCTTTTCTGTACCAGAATATCTAGAATTCATTCCCAGTTACCATACATGCATGTGGTAAGGCAAATTAAGAAAATTATGATAGCAAAACGAGAGTAAAACTATTTTGTAGATTTATGGTACTGTAAAAGTAGGAATAAACTCCTCTTGATGAAATGTGATTTCTTATGCAGTGTGTGTAAGGGGCAAGCAGAGAAAGGAATGCTTTTAGAGTATATAGAAATTTACCAGTGAAATTAGCTATTTAGCCAGCTATGGAAACTCTTAACCATTTCTGTGCTAATGACTGTGACAAAATGAAACAATGTCACACCCTATCCAGTTGAGGGGCAATTCCAGATGATTCCTCACTCATCATTTAACCTGAATTGAAATGTTGGTCAAAAAAAAAATGCGTCTAAAATAAAAACTGTTAAAAATAACACAGAACATATACCATCCCATTTTTAAGAGCTATTGACCTTAGATTTTGATTATTAAAAAAGGGACAACTGATCTGTAAGTAGTCAAGAAAAAAAAATATAGAGAATTCTTATAAAATAGGGCTTAAATTTTTTCTGTAAAGGGTCAGAGAGTAAAATAAGTATTTTAGGTTATATATATATAGGTCTTATGGTCTCAGTTGCAAGTACTCATCTGCTATCATAGCCACAGATAATGAACAAATGAGTGTGGTTGTGTGCCAATAAAACTTTGTTCACAAAAACAGGCAGTAGCCTGGATCTGGTCCAAGGCCATAATTAGCAGACCCCTGTTCTAACAAAAAAGCTGAAATAATTTTGTGCAAAGTACAGACAGAATGTATTCTGCAAAATTTATCAATTCATGTTGATAATACTACGTTATAAAAATTGCTGACTTTTAAATTCTCATCATTTATAATCATGTTTAAGTATCTACAATTTAGCTTCTGTATATTATGAAATAGATACAAAAACATAAGAGGTAGCCCTGGCTCAGAACTCAGTTGGTTACAGCCCACTACCAAAGTAGTGGGTTCAATCCTCAATCAGGAAATATATAAGCAATCAATGAATACATGAATAAATGGGACAACAAATCAATGTCTCTTTCTCAAATCAATAAATAATTTTTAAAAAGGAAGCGGTATAATTATATAGTGAAAAGTATTCTGGACAGAGTCAAGATTTGGCTCTGCCATTAGTTATAAAATATTGGATTTTTGGTAGTCTGGGATTGGCGACTCACCTTGAGAAAAGTTTTCCATGAAATCTTCTCATAGCATTGCACAGGGTTCCTGAAGTAATCCTGAAGGGACCAGAATTTGCGGTACAGGTTGTAATCAATTGGAATGGAGCTAATAAAATAAATGATATATAAATAATATAAGTTCTCTTAAAAATATCTAAATGCTTTTAACTTTTCTTGGGTCACAAACTCTTTTAAGAAGTTGGTGAAAACTATGGTCTGTTTCCCCAGAAAAGTGCACATTCATAAATACTTATATCATAAATAATTTCAAATGAAATTAATAAATAGACCCCCCTTTATCTATAGTGATGGAATCCTTGAATTTTGGTTGGATGCAAGATTATGTTACTAGTACAAATCTAATATCAATACACACATAAATTTTAAATTTATAAACAATCATTATACTATAGCATGTTTTAACTTTAATGTTAAAACAAACATTTCAGACTTTTTAAATCCATGAGATTGTTTTTTTAACAAAATCCTCTACATCATTTAAAACAGCAATGAAGCCTTTTAGTATAATCCATATGTAAAAACTGCTTGAGATATTAAATACTGCATATCCCAAATATCTATAAAAATGTTCATTATTGCTATAAAATTAATTTTGTCTGTAATCACAATTGTGTACTTCATTCTTTCTAAATAAACCTTAATTGAACCAATGGATTATAGTTAGTTTTCCTCTAAGCTTCATGCCCATACAAATATTCTAAGTAAGACTGCAATTTAATATGGGAAACAGAACATAGGTTTGGTGAGCCACACAGTCCCATGATCTTAAGAGTCTTGCCATCTCTATTCTGCCGAATGACAGCAAGTTAACCTTCCATTCTTCATCTTTAGGATGGATATATCAAAAATTACCTTTCCTAATGACTAGGGAGTATCAGAGACATATTATAATGCTTTTGAAAGGATTATAGTAAAATCAAGTGAGTATAATTTTTAACATCTACTAAAAAGTTTTTTTTGGGAGGGGGAACTAATGTTTAAAAGACTGAAAAATGCCTTAGTTTCTTTGTATATAAAATAAGAAAGAGTAAAAAAGTATAAGATAATTTGCTAGTGTAAAATTTAGTTTCAGAAGTCTGAAAAGTTATATTAGTGACCTAAGAAAAAACAAGGGGAAAAGTATTTTAGTAAAACATATGGTAGCACATTTGATAAAGAAGCTCACCACAGGAATTTAATTCATATGGTTAAGACAAACTGCAGTATCATAAAATATCCATTTAAAGAATAATTTTATTAGTTTGAATTGACATCAATTGGAATAACACTTCAAAAACAACACACACATCGAAAATCACAATAGTAACACATTACATCTTTCATTCACACTTCTGACAACTTAGCTGCCTGGAAAAAAGCTGTGAACTTGGAAATAATTGAAAAAGTCCATGATTTGCAAAAAAACAGCAGTCACAAAGTCCATGCATTTTATTTTATAAAAGATACTTGAAGTTATCTCTCTATATAAACCCTAATATGCAAATAGACCGAATGGCAGAACAACCGATCACTATGACGTGCGCTGACCACCAGGGGGCACATGCGGAACATGGCAGGTGTCAGCAGCAGGAGGATGGTGGAGCAGGTGAGTGTGGGCGCCAGACCAAGGCGGGGCACTGGTCGCTGTCATCTGGGCAAACCTCGTCATTGTCATTGGGGCGAGCCTCTGGTGGTTATTGAAAATTCTTTGCTCCTGTGTGCCATGGTCCGCTGGGTGCTCACACCCGCTGCCTGGTCGCCCTTCGCACCCACTGACGGCACTGGCCACGCTCGCACCCACTGCTGGCGCTGGCCCCAATCACTCCGCGCCACCAGTGGGTGCAAGTGGGGCTGGTGCCATCAGCGCGTGGGAGTGGTGGCGGTGGGAGCGTGACTGCCGGCAGACAGGGTACTGGGGGCCACAGTGGGAGGGGCCGGGCGGAGACGCAGAGGATGGGCTGAGACCCACCCCTGTGCTCACAGCAGCCTCGTGGCCCACAGTTCCTTTCAAGGTGCACGAACTCATACACTGGTCCCCTAGTCGTATATAATAAAAGCCTAATATGCTAAGTGTCCGGTCGACTGCTCAACCAATCAAAACGTAATATGCTAATGATATGCTAAGGCCACTCAACTGCTCACTATGATGTGCACTGACCACCAGGGGGCGGATGCTCTGAGCGGTAGGTTAGCTTGCTGCTGGGGTCCGGGCGATTGAGACTGAGCAAGACAGGCCAGACATGCCCTGGAGCCCTCCTGTGGTTCCTCCCTGGCTGGCCGCCAACCTCTGTCCCTCCAAGGCCCCTATTGTGCACTGGTGGGGTCCCTCAGCCTGGCCTGCACCCTCTTGCAATCTGAGATCCCTTGGGGGATGTCGGAGAGCTGGTTTCGGCCCGATCCCGCAGGCCAGGCCAAGAGACCCCAGTGGTGCACAAATTTGTGCACTGGGCCTCTAGTGCTTATATACTCACCCAGATTACAATGGCTTTGGATTATGTGTAAAGTTAGGTAAATAATTTAGCAAGTTTAGCTAATTTTGATAAAATAATGTTAACTGCTAGAGTAACTGCTAATATCTCAAGCATGTGGATCTTGCTTCAAATCAATAATGAAGAATGCTGACAACTTTTAATTGACAAAAATCTAACCTCTGCCAAAAGTTTTGTCAAGAATCAGCAATATTCCAAAGAATCTAATGGGCGTGTTAACTTTTGCTTTTTCTAAGCTCTTTCCTAGTATCAACCCTGAAAACAGGAAAACAATTATCTGAACATCAACTTCTTTCTATAATTAAAGCAACATTAATGGTTTACAAAATAAGATTATAGGTATGGGTTTTCTCTGGGTCAAATTAAAAAGAAAAAAAGCCACAGAACATTTCCCAAAATGTGAAAGTAAAATGGAATAAGAAACAGCTATATAAATTATTTGTATTCATGAAACAATACAATATTTAACATTTGTATAGTTCCATACACTTCATAAAAAAAGCCTACTCTATCCGTAATGCACATGAACAAATAAGTCTCAAAAAAAATCCAAAAGACAAAACACTATATATAATGGCTACAGGACACTGAATAAATACTGTCCTATGTGCTTTACATATATCACTCTATGCAACATCAATACATACAGTTGTAATGAGGATAACAGATCACTTCCAAATAGCATCTCATTTAATCGCAATAACTGAAGCAGATAGATGGCATTACTACATTTTTAAATACTCTGAAACTGAGTTGCTGGTAGGTTAATAGTTTGTTCCAGGTTATATCAGTAGTAAATACAGGAGTTATGCCTGGAGCTATGCTACTTTCAATGTTCCTTGGGGCTATGTGTTTGAATTTGAAATTTGGGATTAAAGGAATATATCTCCCTGTACAGATATAGAAACCCTTTCTAGATCTTCAGGAAATCTTTCAATTGCAACTGATGATGATAACTATTTTAAAGAATGCTAGTGAAAGTGTTCCTGTATAACTTCATGTTTCGCTTCCTCATTGCTTCTAACCAGTACTAAAAATAAATTATTTGGAGGGAAAGCATAGGGTTATAGAGGATAAAATAAGAGACAGTGACAGAAGGGGAGCAGAAGGGAGGAGGAGAGAGAAAGGAACTTCCTTATCTCTCCTATTTCATTAAATAATCAGGCTCAATATCCACAGGTATTGAGTCCACAAAGCTGAATGGAAGGGAGAAGGGTAAGAGGACCTAGGTTGCTTATGCTTGGTCTTTTCAATGTTATGAACATGTATAAAATAGGCTGTGTAAACAATGAACCGTCTGCACACACAATTTAGAAACTATTGGATACAGCCCAGTAGTAATTGGAATTTATAGTTTTAAGTAATTTACATGAAAGTTACAAATAAATCTACAAGCATGATTTCCTTCATCTTTGTCTACATTCTCTCTCTAGAACTCGGTAAGTCATTAAGGTATTAACTTTGTAAATCAAGAAATCTGGACTAAAAACTCACCAAGTTGTTGGAGCTTCATCATCACCCATTTCACCTTCTTCTACGTCCATTCCTTCTTCTCTATCTTCAGCGTGCTAAGTTAAAACAAAACAAAACAGTACAGCCTGTTGTGACGCAGTTGTCAGGCAGAAGGTAAATGCTGGAATGTCATTCACACAATGCTAGAAAATCATTAGTAGAAAAGTCTAGTCATAGTAACTATCTAGACCAGGGGTGGGCAAACTTTTTGACTCAAGGGCCACAATGGGTTCTTAAACTGGACCGGAGGGCCGGAACAAAAGCATGGATGGAGTGTTTGTGTGAACTAATATAAATTCAAAGTAAACATCATTACATAAATGGGTACGGTCTTTTTTTTTTTTAGTTTTATTCATTTCAAACGGGCCGGATCCGGCCTGCGGGCCGTAGTTTGCCCACGGCTGATCTAGACCTATAGTTAATCTTTAAGGCAATGTGAATTTTATGCAACAGGGATCTGAGAACTCAAGACCAGTATGACAATGATATAGGATAGCTATGAAAACAACGTGAAGTTTTAAACCAGTATTTCTCCAAACATAGTCAGTAGATTCTCTCTGGGAATAAAGAATGTATGGCAAAATACCTTTTGGAAATATATACAACAACCTTTTAGAGAATTGAGAAAACCATTAGTATATTAAGGACTCTAAGAACTGTAGTAAATAAATTGAACTTAAGTAGTTTTTAATTTCCAACTTCAATTTGACTATGGAAATCCTCCCTGATTCCTACACAGAACACTTATTAATCTGGGAACATGACAGGATATGCTGTGTGTCCAGCTCTATATTGAAAATTCAAAATAAGTTCACATGGAATAGTCCAAGAAGTACCTAAAAGATATATAAAGGTGAAGGACAAGATTTTGAAAAAACCTTAAGCAAAGCCAACATCACCTCCAAACTGATAATGGTTTTATACTTTAAGTAATAAATTACATAGAGTAGTCATTAATCTACAGTGAGATATTAGTTTTATCTAATTAATAATTTTTAAAACTTTTAACTGGCTTCTAAATGAAGAGGAGGTGCTGAATGACCAGGAATTTCCCAACTCTGGACTGTCTTCTGGATATATCATAATCTTAAAAAATCAGTGGGCAAACAATGGATTATTTAACAAATGGTTCTGAGATAACTGGCTTATTATTTGGAAAAAAATAAAATAACTCAATTTATTTTAAACTCTAGTATGTCTTCTGGGTTAAAAGGAAGCAACAAAACCTTAAATGCACCAGAAGAAAACAAAGGGGTTGAATCTTATGGAGGAGAAGCTTTAAGCATGACACAAGGCCAGAAATAATAAAACAAAGACCAACAAATGTTAATATAACCAAATGAAAAAGTTCTATACAGCAAAGACTCCATAAAGTTACAAGTAAAAGTATAAACTGAGAAAAATTCTATCAACATATGGTAGGCAATGAATTAATATTCTATATAAAATATTCTATATAATGAGTTTTTACACATCAGTAAGAAAAAGACATTTCACAGTAAATTGGGCAAATGGCAAAAATAGGCAATTCTCTTCCTCAAGGCTTCAAACCAGCACAGAAGTAAATTCCAATCAACAAACAGTAAGTTCCTCGATTTTATTAACCAAGGAAATAAGTTAAAATAAAGACGACTTACTTTTTAAGTACACAACAATTAAGCAAAGATTTTTAAAAGTTGGTAATTCCCAGGATTGCTGTGAGGTTGTGCGAAAATGGGCAGGCATTCTCTATGTGCCACTGGTGATAGTATCAATGATTAAACCCTCTTTGAGTAAGTAACTGGGCAACATCCATCAAAATCTGATATATGTATTATTTAGACATAGCAATTTCACTTATTAAACTTTATCTTACAGATACACCTGTATAATATAGCAATATTATTCACTATAATGCTGTTAACAATTTTTCACTTTTAGACATTATCTAAATGCCACTGTCAGGATTGTTATACATCAAAAGATTTATCAAAAGCCATGAACACTGATATACATATAAACATACTGATGCAAAAATGCATCCATTTTTTTTACTACTTGAAAAGAAGAAAGTGAATTTCAGAACAGTATGTAGTGTGTGACTTCATTTTTGGAATAAAACTACATTTATACAAAAAGTCTTACGAGGTTAGCCAGAGAATGTTAAGAGTGGTTATCTTTTGGGCCTAGGATTATGGGGTAGCTATACTATTTTAAATATTTCTATTTTGTTTGCATTTTTAACAGAGAATACATATTATTCCTATAAATTGGAAATAAAGGTTTTTAAATTTTTGATGACTTAGAAGACCCATTCATAAGTTACTTCAATAACAAACATAAACATGTTCTGTTAGATTTCATATCAGCCTCACCTTCTGACCCAAGGTGCTTTCCTGCTCATTGGTATTGAAAACAGTGACATTTTCCAGATTAAACTGACTCTGCAAATTAAGACCTATTAAAAAAAAAAAAAGATTTCACAGCAAATCCACCGAACACCTAAACTTTTAAGAATGTAAGTTTGTCATATAACTAAAACATATACAAGAATAAATCCATAATTAAGAAAAAGCTCAAGTTTAAAACACCACCACACTTGTATGTTCAAATTGTTTTAAAGGTCATTTCTTAAAGATGCCTTTAGAGCACACAGAATTCTACATACAATATAGTTGATCCTTATTATTCATGAATATTTAAGAACAATTTTATATAATGCATTATGTAGCAATTTATAATTTTGCTGAATCATAGATAAAAAATTGTATTAATCAAAAAGTGAGAGTGTATAACAGTATTTATGGGAAATATATTGTAGTTAATGAGCCAGGTTTCTCACTCTCAGAGAAAGAAGTTATACATAAGCAGGTCTACTGGTGGCAGATAAACTCAGAATATTAGTATAATCTCATGGTTTTTGCTGTGGGTTATTGAAAAATATATATACAGAGAGAGAGACAGTGTGATTCTGTGATTTATAAGAAATATATCTGGTTTTCATCCTCAGTTCCTGGCTCACAGCTCTCAAATTGCTTGGAATTTCCTAAGTGATAAGAGCAACAATGGTGTCTCTTGTTATGTTAGAATCATTTCTTGTTATCATGACAGATTCTAATTCATTAAAAACTGGAAAAGACTTTCCTGCAAAGCATGTTTAATGTAAAAAAGCTTACCAGATTTCTCAGATAAAGGGAAAAGCCTGGCCAAAAAAAGTTGAATTCGTCCACAGAAAACTGTGTTCTGGGATTTTGATAATCTTCTTAAGAGATCTAATAATATATGGAAATAAAGGTTACATAGAAGAGATCATTCTTCTTTAACATTCATACCCAAGTTTTTAATCAGTTTGTTAAGAGTATTTTCCTAAAGCAGCAGTTGTCAAGATGGGGGTAGAAACTGTCACAAAAATGCAACAATTAGAAATAAAAACAATTAGAAATAAAATAAGTTTAACATGGGCAAGATAAACTTTACCTTTTTTTTTTCAATACACAACAGAAACAATTTAATTTAAAGTCATTGATCAGTTTTAATAAATCAGATTTATTTAAAAATGAAGATGCTAGTCTATTTAATAAATTTTATTACTTGTGGTTAATTGAACCACCTGCTTTTCTGGCCATATTTACATATTAAAAAACAATCATTTACCACTGAATTACCTACCATTGCACATACGTAGTAAATAATTTTTCCCAGCAGAATAGAATGTATTCTGAAATTAAGACAGAAATAATTACTATAGTTCAGAAGTTGCTGCACATCCTTCAATAAGTCACAGGAAGTAAAATATTAAAGAATACTAACATGCACTGAGAATCTACAATGCCACTTTTGCTTTTTCTAGGCAAATAACGTTTTCAATGAAATAAAAATATTTTCTTATATAAAACATGATACCAAAACACAGTTTTAAACATGTGAAAGCATACATTTTCAAGTTGTTATTACTAAGTACTTCAACTTTTTCTCCATAAATGACTCTTACTTGCCTCTCCCAAGAGAGCAGAATACATAATTCTTTCATAGGAACAAACTTTTTAGCAATTAGCAGTATTAGAAATACAAGCAATAAAATCTACCCTCACAATTCTGGATCAATAGAAAGATAATGTTAGTAGAAAAAGAATCTAAGGCACTTACTGATTTCCAAGTAGCAACATTTTTTTCCACAAAAGTGAATATTGTGTCACATTGATCCAAAGGGAGACAATCCAAAACATCTCCCAACAATACAAAAGGTGTAGACGCGGTGCAAATACCTTTATGCCAAATTGAAGGGAAAAAAGTTTAAAATACTGTTGAATAAAATAGCACATGAAAATCACTCTGAAGAATATCTTAAAGGTACACTTTGTCAATCCTAAAAAGTTTTTAACAGACAAGAAATGAGAGGAACCTAAAAGTTCCCAAACAGGACATACTTAAGTTTTGGTATGTGCACTCAATAATGATGATGATAAGACGTCTAGAGCATTTACTATATGTCAGGCACATTAACACATTTAACCCTATTAGGTAGATAATATTCTCTCCAGTTTACAGAATGGTAAAACTGAGATACAGAGAAGTTAAATAACTTGCCCAAGATCATAGAGCCAGTAAGTGGTAGAGCTGGGATACGAACCCAGGAAGTCTGGCTTCATAGTCTGTTTTCTTCACCACTAAGCTATTCAAAAGAATATAATGCAGCCAATTAAAAATGGTGGTTATGATCACTATAACCTGGAATAATTAAGTGAAAAAGGCAGGATTCAAAACTGTATGTATACTATGGTTACAACAATAAAAATTTTAAAAGACTAGCAAAACTAAAACCACATACCAAAATGAATGGTAGTTTTTAATGTAGAGGAATTGTGACTAGTATTTTTACTTTTTCTCATTTCTAACTGTTCTGCAATGTTGCTAAAGTGTCTTTGAGACTTGAAAAGATTATTTTTAAAAAGATAAGGTTTGATATTGATTTCAATTATTATTGAACATTTAAAACAATAGTACGTATTGTTTTAGGGGATAGAACAGTAAAGTTGTTTATTTCTAAATTCAACATTGTTAAAGTAAAGCAATAAATTATTTTAAGAAAAGGTCATTTAGTCTAGCTAAAAATACTTTTATCTCTCTGCTATTTCTGTCTTCTATTTTAAGGTAATATAATTACTAACACTTGTTAAATGTTTAAGAGAGTAGCCACCTAAGCATGGCATGTAAAATAAATAAAATAAAAATAGATAAAATAAATATTACTGTAAGCCCAACACAATGCATTAATATAGTATATTCAGAAAAAGAAGGCAGTATTTCCAGCTCTGCTGTACACTGGTAAGATCACATCTGGAATGTGACGTGAGGGATACTGCCTAGAGTCAGTGGGTGGCATAAGGCAGCAGATTTCAACTCAATACAGGGGAAATCTGATAATCAAAACTACCTAACAGAAATAAAATACTTAGCTCCATCAATGAGTGTAGAGACTGAATGATCACCTGCCAGGGATGTTATAGAGCAGTGGTTCTCAACCTTGGCTGCACATTAGAATCACCTGGGAATCTTTTTAAAATCCTAATTTCTGGGCCTCATCCTCCAGAAATTCTGTTTCTTTCTTATGGGGTGGGGCCACAACATTAGTAACAAAGAAACAGAATTTCCGGAGGACGAGGCCCAGAAATCAGGATTTTAAAAAGATTCCCAGGTGATCCTAATGTGCAGCCAAGGTTGAGAACCACTGTTATAGAGGGAAGCAGGAAGCCAGAGATGAGACTGGACTAGATGACCTCTCAAGTCCCTTAACACTTAGATTCTGTAATACTACTATATGTATGCCCTGTACATCCAAGAGATTTGAAGGGCATACTCCCTGCCCTTAATTGCAGTGTAGTTTGGCATAACTTAACTCACATTTGATAATTATAGAACTTAAGATTCCTGTAAGATTCTGATTCAGTAAAACTCAATTTAAAATAAAGATCTCTGGTTATTCTGATGAGGTGGGTTATATACATGATCCCCCAGAACTTTCACAACCTGTGTCCCAGCCTCTACATGGGCCTCTTTGTTTCACTTTAACCTTGGCCACAGATAGATACCCTCTTCTTAGTTCCTAAACAACTTGCTATGTTCATACTTCCATGATTTTGTTTACAATGCCTTTTCTGACTAAATAGTCCTCCTCCTACCATGTGGTAAATTCTTACTTAATCTTTCAAAATACAGTGGGGCCTTGACTTATGAGTTTAATTAGTTCCGTGACGGAGCTCGTAAATCAAATTACTCGTATGTCAAATCAATTGTGAATGAGTGAGACACGTGATGCTGGGCTGATGTTGTGGTGTTCACTGTGACATTCGCTGCGCCAACTAGCAGTGGGGTATCTGAAGCTGGCTCGTAACCCGAATTTTAGCTCGCAACTCAAAGCAAAAAATCGGCCGAGAGATGGCTCGTATCTCGAAAAACTCGTTAGTCGGGACACTCGTAAGTCAAGGCCCCACTGTATACAGTATACAGTGTATCTAAGCCAGTGGTTCTCAACCTTCCTAATGCTGCGACCCTTTAATACAGTTCCTCATGTTGTGGTGACCCCCAACCATAAAATTATTTTCGTTGCTACTTCATAACTGTAATTTTGCTACTGTTATGAATCGTAATGTAAATATCTGATATACAGGATGTATTTTCATTGTTACAAATTGAACATAATTAAAGCATAGTGATTAATCACAAAAACAATATGTAATTATATATGTGTTTTCCGATGGTCTTAGGCGACCCCTGTGAAGGGGTCGAGACCCACAGGTTGAGAACCGCTGATCTAAACGAAAACAACAAAAACCCTTATACCTTTGAGCAGCCCACCTCATCTGTTTCTGAAGTACACTGGACATAAATTATAACACTTATTATATCCTGTTAATCTTATGTGTCCTATGAGTTTTCAAAGGGTAGGCAATTTTGTATATATTAACAAAAGTGTCTGACACTGACCAGAAACTCAATAAATATTTGCTGAGTTGAATTTAATAAACTATGGACAATTTGAAAATGTGTCACATACATAAACAATACTATATTCTCTTTCAAGGAGGAATTTTCCCCGTCAAACTAAAATTAAAAAAGCATTTATTTACAGTTTAACTAAAATCATAAGTCCTCACCTTTCTCAAATAAAGTAAAAGTTCTAAATATAGACTTTGTACAACTTCCAGTGTTAAAAACGTTGCTAGTCTACAAGAGTAACATACCAATGTACTCAATGAACTAAGCAGATGCTGCTAACTGAGAGGAGCTAGGCAAGGAACACTCCATTTTAGAACTCACTAAAGTATGCTGAATGAATAAGTGAATAAATAAGCATTTTATATAAAAGTTTAATATGAAAAGTCAGAATTTAAGAATTATGCTGAGTTCACAAAATAGCTTGCCACTACACTAGGTCACTTTTACCATGTATATTCCAGTTTTTGTAGGAACAAATATCAAAATAATAATGTGACTAATGCTTTATACATTAAAAGGCATTTCACATAAATTACCTAAATTAAAGAAAAATTTTAACCAGATCAGTTAAAGAGTGCCAATCAACTATTTTTTCATTGCTTCTTTCTGTAAATATTTAACGAGCTCCTATGTATTAGGCACTGTATACTTACTAAGCCTTTTTAAAAAAAATCTCCTGAAACTACCTCCCCTGCCACTGTCCCATTTTGAGTCCCCTATCTAGTTTTCCCTGCCAGCAGTCTCTCCCAACCCAACTCTTCGTCCATAGCTCCTCTTCAGCCTGGTATACAAAGCACTTCACAGAAGACAGTAACTTATGCTTCCTGTGTCTCTCCTTACCCTGCTCCTCATCCTCACTCCCCTGCTGCAGTTCTTCAGCCATGCTGAAGTGGGCCCTTACATATAACTATCCCATCTGTTTCTGCCTGACAAATTCATCATTCCTCACTTCCCAGCTCTCATGCGACAGCTTCCTTTCTAAGACCTTCCTGATTCCTTTAGACAATGAAGTTTCGAGTATTTCAACCAGATTTCATTCCTACTTCAACCGCAGTAATTACACCACAGTAAGACATTTACACTGTTTCCTCCATTAGCTACTAGGCTCCTTGCAGTCAGAGAATGTTTTATTCACCACTGAATCTCCAAGCCCTAGCTTAGTACCAGCCACATAGTAGATGCTCAGAAAATACCATATTTTTCCATATATAAGACGCCCCCTAAGTTTTCCAATCCAAAATTAAGAAATCAGTATTTTAAGCATTTTGCTGGTTTTCCTCTTAGGGCCTTCTCCTTTTTTGGCATCCTAAGGAGTTGCTCTTCCTGTTTTCTCTACTGTCTGATCATACACTCAGTGGGAGGCAGTCCAAATTGTCTCTCTGCAGCTCTATTGCCATGCTCTTTTGCACAGCTGATTACATTTAGTTTGAATTTTTCAGAGCAAGACTACTGCTTATAGGTATTTATCTTTTTATTTTTTGACATCTTTATGGGCTCAGAACTCGGTCCCTGTTGCATCTGTCTTCACTCCACCTCCAATTACGGCATCAGCTGATGTCAGTAACAATAAGGCTCATGATTGGAGGAAGCCTGTTTGACAAGGTATGGGCAGCTACATACCCCTCCTCGGCTGACTTCCATGTATGACGCCCCTCGATTTTCAGTTTAACGATTTTAGAAAAAAATAGCATCTTATACACGGAAAAATACAGTATTTAACGAGTGAATGAAACAACTGGAGAACAAAGAAAGTACTAAAATGTGTGCTACATACTAGAGATGAAAAATAAAGGTGAGCTACTTTCATTGGTCTAACTTCTTGGTAAAGGTGGTAAGCGGAATTTGAAAAATGAACAGTATCAGATAGATGGAGAGGTATGGGATGAATATGTTTGTTTTTAACCCTCACTAGAGGATATGTTTACTGATTTTAGAGAGAGAGAGGAAGAAAGGAAGGGAGAGAGGGAGGAAAGGAGAAACAGACAGAGACAGACATCAATGTGAGAGAAATATGGATCGGTTGCCTTCCATATGCCCCTGAGCTACTGGGGATCAAACCTGCAACCTAGGTATGTGCTCTGACCGGGAATCAAACCTGAAACCTTTTGGCATATGGGATGATGCTCCAACCAACTGAACAACCTGGCCAGGGCTGAGAATAAGTTTTAAATAAAGCATATCGTGTCCCAAATTACTTAAAAAATAAAACCCATACTTACCTTCAGTTACTCCCCCAATAGCAAGAGAAATAATAGCTAAAACATTTTCACACGATGAGTGATTTATCTACCAACAGAGGAGAAAACAATTTAATTTAGGAGCCAGAGTTCAGACTAATTTGCTAACAATAAAAACATACCCTGACATTAAAATGATTATCACAAATATGGGATACAGCTATTTCTTATAGAAGATAAAATTATTTTTCAGATGAAAATACAAAAAATGGGTAGTAAAAGAATTACTAATCTAGAAGTATATTAAGTAAATAATAAACAGGCAATTCACTTAAAATCCAATGGTCTTACAAAAATGGTTTCATTAGCATGATTAAGCCTGTAAGCTAATCAAGCACAGAAGTGCTGATGCCATAACTCAATCAAAGGCAAAGGCAGAGCCAGAGGAATGAATTGTACTGGTACATCAATATGTCTGAGGGAAGGTTTTAATAGAAGGGAAGCAGTACCTAGGTTTGATAACATCATAAAATCCAGCATTTATTGTGTGTTCATTAACTGTCATTTTACACAACAACTTTGAAAGAATGTCATCTGCCTTCATACAAAGAAACTGAGGCCCAGAAAAGCAAAGTAAGGTGCCTGGTGCCTCACAAAAGGTAAAGGAGTAGGTCTGAAGAAGAGGAAAGAGTGAATTTTGATGCAGAAAGGGACACTATTATTGCCACAAGAAAAAGATCTACCTTCTTGGGACCTAACCTTCACTTAACCAAAAATAAACTTTTGAAACTTTTTCTTTTATTATTCACTAATGTTAAATAAATTCAGATTTTTCATATTTATAGTAAATTTATCAACTGAAGTTAAACAAGCGCTAGTATTCTTTTATGTTGATGAGAAGGATGACATAAGAAAATGAGAGCATGGAACCCCAGTTCCCATGCTGAACATCCTTGGACTGGACTTCTTGTGCAACTACAATATATGTCACACTGTCCATACAGCAAAATGAGAGACCTAATTTCAAATCCCAGTTCTTGCTCAGGAAGACCTAGTATCAACTTCTCCCATACTATTCACCTGGAGAAGGCTCTCTTCATCTATTAAACCAAACCCTTATACTGCACCTGTGCTGCCAAAAGCCTTAATTATTACATTACTCCTATATTATTATCAAGGCAGCTTTCACAAAGTAGCAAGCTCACTCTAGAAAAAGCAATCATATTTAAATATTCATTCTAAGAATAAAAGCACATTTTAAATGACCTAATTAATTTGCCAGCAAAATCTTAATAAAATTATACTTACAATTTCTTCTTCTAGAACACCTCTGAAAGCTTGGTCAAGGGTACATTTTTTTTCATTTTCACTATTAAAAACAAAAGATACCTGCATTTTTAAAACAGCTCAGGGTAAGTATAAAGATTTAGGCAATGTATTTTAGGGATATCAATGCCTTACCTTCCAGGTAACTGGCTGAAGGTATTCAACAATGACTTGATATTTTTGTTGTTCAGAGCTTCTCTGGTAGACTTCTAGAAAAAGAAAAATAGCAAATAATTGAAAAGATTTTTGCTTATTTACTGAAAAACATGTCATTCATTAGTAATATGTCTAACTAAAAAATGTTTGTAACTGGGAAAAATTACCTATCAGTCATTCTATCTGTAATTCTTATTCAAATGCCACTTCTGATAGACTCTCATTACTTTAAACCTGGCAAGATCTTTCTAGATTGATTTTCTCATTCCAGTTTTTCCTTCCTATCATCTCTTTAAATACTACATTCATGAGAATATTCTATTTTAAAATATATTTTATTGATTTTTTACAGGGAGGGAGAGGGATAGAGAGTTAGAAACATCAATCAGCTGCCTCCTGCACACCCCCTACTGGGGATGTGCCCCAACCAAGGTACATGCCCTTGACCGGAATCGAACCTGGGACCCTTCAGTCCGCAGGCTCTATCCACTGAGCCAAACCGGCTAGGGCTATTCTGTTTATTTTTAAAGTTTCCAATGGCTCCTTATTTACAGATTCTGGTTTTGAAGTTTTATCTCTCCTCTCAAGGTCCTATGATATCCCATTTAATCTATCCAGTCTTACTTCCTACTCCTCCTAACACAAGTCTCCACTAAGGTCTAGCCATTTCCCCCCATAATTTTCTATCAAGCGCACTCTAGTGTATTCATGCATTCATGTTGTTTTTCCCACCTGTCCAAGCAAATTCTATCCATTCTTCAGGACCCATCTCAAGTCCTGTCATCTCTAGGTAGTTTACTCAGCGGTCTCTCACTACAGTAAACACTGAATACATACCTGCTGATTGATTGTCTTAAAGTAGTCATAATTTAAAGACAAAAATATTGCCAAGTCATTCCTTCTGTGAAAATTCACATACACTTAAAAAGTCATCATATTAACCTCACAGGAATTAGATTTATACTGGAAATGTCCATTCCTGACTCTGCCAAGATCAGGCTGTCATCTTGGTCAAATCCCTTAATGCTTCATTTTCCTCACCAGTTAAATACGAGGGTTGTTCTATCAGTGGTTCTCAACCTTGGCTGCACATTAGAATCACCTGGGAATCTTTTTAAAATCCCGATTTCTGGGCCTCATCCTCCGGAAATTCTGTTTCTTTCTTACTAATGTTGTGGCCCCACCCCATAACAAAGAAACAGAATTTCCGGAGGATGAGGCCCAGAAATCAGGATTTTAAAAAGATTCCCAGGTGATTCTAATGTGCAGCCAAGGTTGAGAACCACTGCTGTAGGTGATCCCACCACACACCGAAGCTGAAGAAGCACTATCCTAGAGACGATCTCCAATTCAGTGGTCCTTTCCAGGGCTACTGTGATGATCTTGGATATTCCTAACAATGAGTCTTAGCAGAATTTCAAAGCACCAGAGATTAGAGCAAAATGCACAGAAAGAAAATATTCCTGATGACATAAACAAGATCTACTCTGGTAAAAAGAAACAAACCCCATACCGTATGGTAAAGAAGTAATAATAACCTGCACACAAGAAAAATTCTTACTACAAAAAAAAAATCAATTTCCTTTCATAGAATGTTCATTCTGGCATCGCTGTAAGTACACAGGCATTGTTAAATACCTAAGTAGTTAAATCATGCCTTGAAACACTGGCGCAAACGCTGAAGACAAATTCAGTCAAACAGAATTTTTCATGCTGGGGATGTATGAACAACATAAAATGAGTAGTACTGGGTTTGAAACCAGGAAAAAAACCACCACTTTAGTAAATCACTTCACTTTTGGGGGTGGGGGACGGATGAGGGAGGTTTGTCTGTTTCTACCTCATCTACGAGGGATCGTAAAAGTTAGTCTAATGAACAGTGTTAAGAGTTACATAAGCTCACATAAGCTGTTTCTCAAATGCGAAAATTACTCTTCCCCAACGCGTGAGAATAAGATGACCTCTGGCCACGCTTCCTTTCCCCCTGAGACTCTCTCCATCCCTCCCAGAAGAGGGGGATGCGGAGGGTTACAGGTGCGGAGTCAGCGGCCGGGACCACCTGGCAACGAGGAGGCGGGGCGGGAGCCAGCCTTTGGGTTAAAGCCGCTGCGGCCCTCCCCTCCCAGCAGCATCCCTCCCAGTTCCGGAGACACAGGTCCGGCTCAGCGTGCGCCGCGGAGGAGCTGGACCGTGCGGGTCTCCGTCCGCAGAGGAGCCCTTCCCGCTGGGCTCCTGGAA